CTTTTTTTTTCCCTTCGGTTGAGCAAGTCACATTTCCCATCAATGGATCAATGGATTTTAAGAGTTGCACCAATCTGTAAGACTGAAGTGGATCGAAACCAACCAATTCATAAACACAACATAAGAACCTAGGTTAATCAATCACACCAGTATCATAAGAGCACCTACTCGCAAGCAATGAGCCTTCGCTTTTGAGTATAACAAGTGTTAAACTCTCTGAAGGCATTCGTAATTGTGCAACAAGCAACATGTCATGCCCCAATAGGTGGGCAAGAGGCGTAACGCCTACAATTTGATGGTAGCACAACTCTTCGACCAAGGGCATCTCAATCATTTCATGGCGGTGTGATATCTTACTAGCAATTAATGTTGTGTGTCATGCACTCCACACGTCCTTCTCACGCTCTCAATGATGTTTTAAAGAGGGAAAGTGCACGCTTTCCCATCATTTATTTATTCAAAATTAAGAAAGAATCCTTTCTTCACCTCCTCCTATTTCTTTTACGAAACCTACAAAAAACTCTAACCATACTTTGACATCCCCTTTCATTTTTGATTTCCACCAACTTCTCCTCTCCCGCTTTCATCCTTGTGTCTCCGCTGTATAAACGTAATCATGCTAGATTCAGATTGAGGCTATCAACCAAATCGAAATAATCAAAGGAAAAAAAATACATAGCCATAAAGGTTTCAAAATACAAAATTTAAAAATAAGAAACTTGTGGAAAAATTTCAAAAATTAGTTGGTCTCATTTTGTGACCTATGATAAGTTTTTATGACCTATAATTTAGTTAAAGAGACTAGGATCACAATAATCAATAAATAATTCATGGTCACGATCACATACTAGTTTAAAAAAATCACACAATGTCACAATCACAAGGAAATAATTTGTTGATCACAAATCACACATTTTTATAAGTCACAATTTGTTTATTTATCTACCACTGCCAAAATCATGGTCAGTACCGCAAATCACACATTTTTTTTTCACACACACACACACACACTTCATAGGCCCATTTTACCATCCAGCTATGGATCAAACCTATTGTTGCTTTAACAGAACGAGTAATTAGACGCAAATAGCACCAAAAAGGGAAATTAATACCATTTTCGTTTTGTTGGGGTTCCCTATAATAATCATTTCGAACCGAAATCATGGTTTTAAAACCGCTGGTTTGGATATTTATCGGTTTAAGTTTTAACATTTCAAAAATTGAATAATAACATTTGAAAAATGAAAATGTTTTGACTTCGTTTGAAAATTTTAGATATCGTTTAAAATTGTTTGGTTTGAAAATAATTTAACAATCGTCTTAATAGATTCATGTTTACCTCTACTAAAAAGTACAATTTTTCGGGGAACTCAATCTCATTTAGATAAAATTGTATCTCTAAAGGAAATGATGAATGTTCTTTATTCTTCAAAATTTTTATAAATTGAAATTTAGTAAATGATATCTAGTTAAGGCCCTGTTTGGGAGGATTTTAGATTTTTCTACATTAAATCAATTCTCATTTTCAACCACACATTCTTCAATAAAATAATATTTTCCATCATATCAATAATTTTTTTTCTTTTTCAACCACACATTTCACATCATATCACTATTCAAAATCAATTCTTCCCCCAAAAATTCCTCTCAAACAAGCTCTAAATATTTTTTACAAATATGTTACTAGTTAAAACCTTTTTTTTCCCTTCGATTGAGCAAGTCACGTTTCCCATCAATCGACCAATGGATTTTAAGAGTTGCACCAATCTATAAGATTGAAGTGGAACGAAACCAACCAATTCACAAACACAACATAAGAACCTAGGTTAATCAATCATACTAGTATCATAAGAGCATATACTCGCAAGCAATGAGCCTTCGCTTTTGAGTATAACAAGTGTTAAACTCTCTGAAGGCATACTCAATTGTACAACAAGCAACATGTCATGCCCCAATAGGTGGGCAAGAGTCGTAACGCCTACAATTTGATGGTAGCACAACTCATCGACCAAGGGCATCTCAATCATTTCATGGCGGTGCGATATCTTACTAGCAATTAATGTTGTGTGTCATGCACTCCACGTCCTTCTCACGCTCTCAATGATGTTTTAAAGAGGGTAAGTGCACGCTTTCCCATCATTTATTTATTCAAAATTCAGCCTTCTAGTTCCATCGTTTTCCGATAAATACTTTATTTGTCTCATTTAAGAAAGAATCCTTTCTTCACCTCCTCCTATTTCTTTTACGAAACCTACAAAAAACTCTAACCATACTTTGACATCCCTTCATTTTTGATTTCCACCAACTTCTCGTCACCTCTCCTGCTTTCATCCTTGTGTCTCCTCTGTATAAACGTAATCATGCTAGATTCAGATTGAGATTCTCAACCAAATCGAAATAATCAAAGGAAAAAATACGCAGCCATAAAGGTTTCAAAATACAAAAATAATGTACAAGTAGATAAATTCATACAAATATGTTACTAGTTAAAACCTTTTTTTTTTTCCTTTGGTTGAGCAAGTCACATTTCCCATCAATGGATTTTAAGAGTTGCACCAATCTGTAAGACTGAAGTGGATCGAAACCAACCAATTCATAAACACAACATAAGAACCTAGGTTAATCAATCACACCAGTATCATAAGAGCACCCACTCACAAGCAATGAGCCTTCGCTTTTGAGTATAACAAGTGTTAAACTCTCTGAAGGCATACTCAATTGTGCAACAAGCAAAATGTCATACCCCAATAGGTGGGCAAGAGGCGTAATGCCTACCATTTGATGGTAGCACAACTCATCGACCAAGGGCATCTCAATCATTTCATGGTGGTGCGATATCTTACTAGCAATTAATGTTGTGTGTCATGCACGCCACGTCCTTCTCACGCTCTCAATGATGTTTTAAAGAGGGAAAGTGCACGCTTTCCCATCATTTATTTATTCAAAATTCAGCCTTCTAGTTCCATCGTTTCCGATAAATACTTTATTTGTCTCAGTTAAGGAAGAATCCTTTCTTCACCTCCTGCTATTTCTTTTACGAAACCTACAAAAAACTCTAACCATACTTTGACATCCCTTCATTTTTTATTTCCACCAACTTCTCGTCACCTCTCCTGCTTTCATCCTGTGTCTCCTCTGTATAAACGTAATCATGCTAGATTCAGATTGAGGCTCTCAACCAAATCGAAATAATCAAAGGAAAAAATACGTAGCCATAAAGGTTTCAAAATACAAATTTAAAAATAAGAAACTTGTGGAAAAATTTCAAAAATTAGTTGGTCTCATTTTGTGACCTATGATAAGTTTTTATGACCTATAATTTAATTAAAGAGACTAGGATCCCAATAATAAATAATTCATGGTCACGATCACATGCTAGTTTAAAAAAATCACACAATATCACAATCACAAAGACATAATTTGTTGATCATAAATCACACATTTTTATAAGTCACAATTTGTTTATTTATTTCAAATTATCAAATTAATTGGCCGCACTCAACTTTATCTCACCCCTCATCGCACTGCCAAAATCATGGTCAGTACCTCAAAACCACAACCCACCACCTCTATCTCAAATCCTCCTCCTCCACCACCATCACCACCTCTACTTCCACCTCTAACCCATCATCACTGCGTGTATTTCAAATCCACAATCACCACCACCACCTACACCTCAAAAAACTGAGAAGATTGAGAAATTAAATTTGACAAATTTAGCACAGACAAACGAAGCCACGGTCAATGCCTTAAAATGTAATCTAGAACAAATCCTCAACGAAGTCCAGGACGACCACCATCACCAGCCACGGCAATAGAACGAAGAGGTAGCGGTGTTATACGATGATGCTCAATCTACGACAAAAACTTTTATCCAATTGATGGGGGTGTCAATGCCTTGAGCTGCAATTCGGAACAAATTCTCAACGAGTTCCGGATGATAACCACTGCCAGCGATAGCGAAACGAAGAGGTGGAGACGTCAGACGATGCCGTTCAATCTTCGGCAACAACTTTCATCCAATCGACGATTTTTTTTGGATTGAAATTTGGAGCGCCTCGATGATCTGCTTTGCATTTGGCATGAAATCAATTTTGATTTTCAGTGGCCATGGCTGAATTTAGTGATAACGATTGGACTTACTCATCTGTAGAGAGAGAGAGAGAGAGGGAAAAAGCCGAATGGCTAGGGCCACATGGGCCTTGGCCATCCAATGGCGCCCCCTATTAGTGGGGGGCCTGTTCAAGTATCATAGTCTAAAAGCGAGAGAGAGAGTAGAGAGAGGGAGAGTGTATATAACTTGTAATATGTATATTTATACATATAAATGTTCATTTATACTATGTATAAAAATACAGCCTTTAAATACACACTTTATCGAGAGTGTATTTTTTAAATCTCCCTTCCTATTATTTCTTGCATTTTGTGATATTCATTTTCTATTTAATAGAAACTATCGAGCTATTATTGTATCAAATTGTCCATTTCATTTCTACGAGTCACAATTTTCTTTTATATAAGATACCTAGAATTATTCTTCTCGTTGCCATTTAAATTGTATCAAATAGCTGCGACTTGCACAATTTGATACAATTAGCTCCGTTTAAATCGAATTCCAGCCATTTACTTGTACAATTAGAAAGGGAGCATTCGGTAGCATGAAAATTGAAATTGAAATCGAAATTGACTCTAATTTAAACAACAAATTCACGAATGCATGTTTGTTACGCAGTACTAGATAGATTTTAAGGTATAAACAAGATTCAAATTTTTTTTTTTTGCTTTTTTTTTTGTAATACTATCTAGTACTGCGTACTCTTGCTTACCAAACAAGCTCGAATATATAACATGACAATGTCTGTACGTAGGCCCATTGAAACAAGGGCTTAGAGATGTAACACAAATATATGCTTAGTAAACTATATAGCGGGTTTATTGTCACAATTCAAATTTCAAAGTATTAAAAAGCAAAAAGCATACAACACTTGATCTTCTCCACACTACCAGAAGAAATTATTGAATTGAGATGAAGCTTGAGAATCATCCTCATCATGTGATGGTGAATGTATATGCCTCCCTTCATATGTGGTTATCACCATTCTTGGATCCTCTGCTAGTCGTTCCACGCGTTTCTTCACACGACAGTTATCCTGAGTACAACGATAATAGCTCCTGGATGAAAAAAAAAAAGTGAAAACCAACATTATTTTCAGTAGCTTAAAAGAGATCTAGTCGAACTGTCTTCTCAGACCGTTGAAGGACTTGTGCGTAAAAACACGCACAATGAGGAATGTGAGGAGGCAATGAATTGGTAAAATGAAGATATAAAGAATGTACTGATATTAATAGCCTGAATAAAGCAATTTTATGGGCTCAGCTCTTCTTCTTTTTTCCCCGTGGAGGAGGAAAAAGAGTATAATGGAAATCTATTTTTGTGTAAAAGGCATGAGGAAGTGCCATCGATGGTCCCATTATTCATTTCTGCAAGCTCTAGTACTGTGACCATGCTTTCCTGTTCGAAATGGTCATAGTTTTTATATGCACTTACATGGTGATGTAATCATAGTACGTGAAATACGTTAAAAGGAAGGAATAGTCATATGCTGTAGTTGCTAAGCGTCTGCATAATTATTTAAATTCCTCACTAACATTCTGATTATTTATAAAGCGAAGAAACAAAGTACAAAAGTATAAGCACTCGACATATTCAAGTGCAAACTTCTCCTCTCAACCGAGATTTTGGCCGATGGCTCGACAAAATCCATCCTACTCAGGTAAGTGAAGGCTTCAATAAGTTCAATTAGTCAGTGGAAGCATAGAACTAACAAATTAGTATAGCAAAGAAGTACAAATGGATAAACACCATATGAATTTATACGGAATGCTCTATCCCAAAAACCTCTTTCGTTGAGTTAACGGGACCAGAGAGCTTATTTTCTTAAACAATGCTTTGTGGGGTGGGGTGGGGTGTGGGCTCAACTATATAACCAGGAGTAATTAAACGACACCGTTGCTCAAGATTTTGAGTGAAAAGGTGTGATTAGAATGGAACTCTTTCACATATCAAATCACTTGGCTAATCAATGGTAGGCCATTGTGGTTTGGATTTATGCTTTACCTAATGCAAAATAAAAAAGAAAAAGGAGATTAAAATGTAATGGAAAACACTGGAGCCATTGAAAACTGGCAAATGCTGGACTCATTATTATTAGACAGTAGCTTTTAGGCAGTGTGGGCTCTCTTGAGCATGTCCCAAGTCATATAAAGTTAGGACTTTGTGGTAAATATGAGGAGATGGCTCCTGAAAAGAGGAGAAAAATCTCAAATATTTGTAATCATTTTACAATAAAAGTTCAATTTACTTTTAACCAAATTACAAATCATGGAAAAGGATCTTCATAAGATCCTAATGTGGAACACAAAGACAAGTAGATCTGATAATCATTTTTTTTCCCCTTCTAGGGTTTCTATTAAAAATCTGCAAATGATTTTAGTTAATCAATGTTTTGCATGTTGTTTTTTTCTGGGCATTTTGATGATATTATTGGGTTATGATCTAAATTTGAATCATCAATTATCTAATTGATGATGAGGACAATAATTAACAGTGACCCTGAGAATACTTCATTTTTTTTTACTGATTACATCAATGGAGTTGATATAAATCATTTCTTACTTGATTATCTATATCTCATGGGAAACCCTACAAAACTTTTAATTAAAAGGCAAGATTAAAATAATAATTGTACTGTTAGAATCTGAGATCAATCAAAATGTACTTAATGCCCTCTACCGCAAGGCTTCTGCAATCATCTGAATCTGATCCCTAACAATATATAGACACGTAATTAACAATATATATCCAGACCAAGATTCAGCATTGAGCAGGAAGATAGAATGAGAAGGTGGGGTGGGGGGAGATTGAACTCCAAATTTAAAAGTTACTAAAATGCATGGGAAAATGGAGGGAGAATCAATTAGAAAGAATATGGAAGTGGAAGAAATCTAACCTGGGATGTTGGGTGTTTTTCACCACTTTCTGGCCATATTTTCTCCACTTGTAACCATCATCCAAGACATCTATATCACTCATGGTCTTGAAGCAAAACCTGGGCTCTCTTACCTTTCTTCTTGCCTTAATCTTCTTCATCTTCATTGCCGATACCCCGAGATAGTCTTCCCCTCCACTTCTCTTGATGCTCATGGTATCATTCATTCCTCCCCATGTCCTATTACTCAAACAAAAGCATAAAGTGAATGATTGGTATCAAAACTAGAAAGAACTCGATAGTTTTCTTCGTTAATATTGTTAAGTTCTAACTAATAATCTTCTAACATACATGCCAGAAGAGTTTTCTACTTGACGTTTGAGACAAAAAGTAAATTTTTTATTACCAGTAATTCGGAGTGGATCTTTGCGATGAAAAAAATTGGGATCCTGCAGATTGAGATGGAATTTCTTCCTTTTGCTTTTGGGCAAAGGACTCAGAAAGGGCAACCGGTCCATCTACTGCAAGAGAAGGAGGTAACATGGCAAGAGTTTTAAGGGATGGATTGCACCCCAATTGAAAAGAGGTGAAGTTTGAATGGATAGGGAAAAATCCAAGTTGTGATGACAAATCTTGATCCTCAAACAAACTCTGATTGAGCATAATTTGGGATGCAGTACTGGACATCTCTTCGTTGTGCGTGCACGGTTACGGTGTAGAAGATCAGAGACAACACCAGTTTGGTTCCTTCAATTGGGAAAGAGAACTTTTTTCTGCTAAGTTGTGTAATGTTTGATGGTAGTCTTCTAGTCTAGGTTAAAAGAATAAAAGGGCTTCTCTTAAACTTTTAGAATAGAGATACCAAATAGCAGAAATTAAATTAAATTGAACAAAGAATAATTGTGAAAGTAACAAAATACCAATTTGTGTACTAGCTAGAACAGTCATTTTCCACACCCCATATTCCCATCCATAAAGTTTACGCAATTCAGTGTCAGCCTGTGAAAATATATGAACTGTGAAGTAAGAAGGATTAAAGTATAATACTTTTTCCTATTGCGGAAATGTTGCCTGCCCCGTTTAATGTTTTTAAATAGAGTTAATTAGTTTTCTTTATATGTTAATGTGACCTATGTTTAAAAAGAGTTAAGTATTGTTCTAAATGACAATAAAGTCACTCAATGTCCTATTGATTGCTAAGAGCATCTCCAATGCTGATGTAAAATTAAGTGTAAATTGTTATCTCGAAAATCACTTTTTCATCCTTATTTGGAATTCAGTGGATCTAAATTCAATGTTTGCCCCAATCGGAAGATCTAACCATTTTTTTTTGGCCTTTTGTGAATGTAAAAAAAGATGGGAAAATGCAATTTGCATTTCCTTTGCATTTCTCCATTAGAGGGATTTTCGGTTACTTTGGAGATTTAAATCACAATTTAAATCTATTTTACAGCACGATTAAAAATGTTCTAATATATACTTACAAACGACATGTTAACATATAGAAAACCCGAACTCCAATAAACATGAATATGAGTATCGAACACTATACAAGATCGCCAAATGAAAGTTACTAACAAACCAAAACCAGCAAGCTCCAAGCCTACTAATAATGATCGTGTTGTAACGCAATTTCCTTCTTGTTTGTATGTGTGCCTATATATAAAAAGTACTTTAAAGTATAAAGAATAAACTTTGCATCAAAGATTTGGTTTCATGTCAACTATATACTGTACGACATGCCCCATTTGACATCGCAAGGTCAAAAATAATAAATACAACAATAGGGATGTTGGACAAATGAGCTCTATTATCGATGTCTCTTTTTTTTTTTTTGCTAGTGAAAATGGGTCATTAACTTTTATGCTGTGGGTTGTGACTTTTCATGGATCCTATAGTAAAGCAAGTATATAGATGAGTACAAAATAATGCACAGAAATTTTGATACCAAGAAAAGCGAATTAAATTAAGGATAAAGATATTTGTACAGAAAAATGTCTACCGAATTGTTTATCCACTCTCACATGCACGCGGACCCCGCGAGAATAAAAAAAAATCCCAGATGTTGTCCCCATCCCTTATTGTGAGTGGTCGGTAAGAGATTAGATAAAAGAATTCGATACATATAGCATAGCCATTAAATTAAATTTTCAAAAAGGGCAAAAGGGAAGGTGTATATATATATGTAGGGTGTTTTGTATGAATATCTAGGGTTTCTTTTTGCCACCCATAAAACAAAAAAATATTGAGAGCAATGATGATGACTCTTGGTTGAAATCCCATCCTCTGTGTATGATTGATGCTGGAGGGCTATTTGACTTTGGCAAGAAAAAAGCTTGTCACCTTTCCACTCTTGCTTTTTGCTTAATTAATTAGCTTTTTTAGTCTATTAAAACTCATTTTCTAACCTCACTTCTACCCACCATTTCTAAAGTTCCAAACAACCCATAATTATATAGTTATGATACCTTCATTTACACACATTAATCTTTGTTAACTTCGTATAGAAAAAAAAATTTGTGTCATCATTTTATGGATGAAAGTATTTGACATAGATGGCACAATCAACTTCATGTCATTGGGTGACATTTAAAGCTAAACGGCTCCCCCATCCCACTCATTTTCTTGCTATGCATAGAGTATCTAGTATTCTCGTATATTTTTAATATCGTGATGAAATTGTATTCTGATCTTATTTTTGAAAGAGAACTTTCTTGGTCGTACACATTTATCCACCATTCAAAATATTTACTCAAAAATCAAATATTAATTAGATTTTTCACCTTTTTATGAAGATCTCTAAAATCTAATGAGGAGAGTTGGTTTTCTGATTTTGGGAGTATTAGGCCAATTTTATTTATGAGAGATACTTGATGTACACTCTTGGTGTACATCATGTATTACACTCATCGCACAATAGTGGGGGGTCTGCAATTTAAAAAATCACGGACCCCACACTCCATTGTGAGAGGAGTGTAAGTCTTAATGTACACAAGAGTGTACATTAAGACTTATTCTATATATAAAGACATATTAAAAATATTAATATGATGTGAGACCTCAACTATGTTTGACCTTAAGCAGTAGCCTGTCTATACTTAGGATCAAACCTACTTTTAAGTTAATTAACATGCTAGTTGTATGGATTTTTTACAAATATACACTTGAGCGATTTTTCATTTGTTTAAGACAAAAAAAAAAAAACACAAAAAAAAAATACAATCAAATGCTGCCAACGCAATATCTGGAGATCGCTTATGTAAGAATTTTTTTTGTACATATGATTTTTTCCTAAGTCAATAAAGATGACAGATTAATGCGTAAGGGATGGTTGATTACTTCACGCGGCATATGACGAGAGATATGTTAGAAACTATTTGGGTAATGCTATTTATCATTATAATGATGAAATACGGTGATGTATCGGTCTATATGAAATAATAAGATTTGACAGTTCCATGTTTATGAGAGAGAGATGTAAAGAATAAAGAGTTACCACATTACTGATATTCCATCATTATGATGATAAATAGCATTACTCAAAATTTTTTCATCATTAATGCTTATGGTAAAAGCAATTTAATTGTAAAATTTTTGTAAGGGTAATTTTATTCACACTACAGTTTTTGTTGACTGCACCATAATTTAATCGTAATGAAGATCCTAAATTTTTTAAAATTTTTCCACTTTTGTCCTCAACCTTGTTTATCTCATTCTTATCTTGAACTTTCAATTGATTAGTGTATATTATCTCTTACGACGAGTTCTATCCAAATATTATGTTATTATGGAGAAAATATTTTGTCTCACTTTTCTATTTGTTATTTACCATTATTTTAAAATACGAGGGTCAAATAAGTCTTTTTATTCCATCCTATTAATTTTTTTTTGCCGTTAGAAGGAACAAGATGTCCTAATTAATAGAAAGTTGAAGAAAAAAATACAATGAAAAATTCAAAGACATAAATGCAAAAATCGTTTGAGAAAATAATTAAAAGAAACAGAATAATTTAAATTAATTAATGATGCATCCAATATTATTTTTAACTAGGCACTATATTTCTGGTATCAAAAATCGTTTTAACGTTATACGTTCGTTTGCATGACATCATTGCTTTGTAGTTTATAAAGTGGCTCCATTTTCATTTTTCATGAGTAACACTTTCTCAGAGATAGAGAGAGACAGAGAACGGTGTTGGCAAACGACATCATTTCATTTTGTCTTTGCTCGTGTAGGTGCTCATCATGTCTTCCTCATTTTTCTTCATAAATAATTAACACACGATTTATTTTCTATTTCCGTACTCATTATATATTAAAAAAATAGAGTCATGAAAATATTTCATTTTTATACAAAAATTGTACACGTAACTAGAGTTTATTTAACTGAGCTTCGAAAATATACAAGTTCTTTTAATCGAGCAATATTTTGAATGTTCATTTTTTTTTCTTATAATTATGTAAGCTACTTATTTTGAAAGTAATTTTTATTGTATTATGTTATGAATTTGGATCGCAAGATAATGACGATAATGAAATAAACAAAAAGAATATAAACAACAAGATTTACGTGAAAAACCCAATACGAAAAAAAACCATTGGCAGAGGAGGAGAAATCAACTATAATCAATAGCAATTGTGTTTACAAGATCTCAATGCACTCGATTGAATTCTAAAATTCTCAAAATGTTGTATGAATCTTGTTAGTTTCTATACAAATCGTGTCATATATATATGAATCATAGAGAATAAGTTGTAGAAGAATATGAGTCAAAATTCGCGTCAAAAAATGAAAATGGGCCTCGATCGAATAAGCCTATCGCCCGAGGACCAGGTGGGCGATAAGCAAGAGACATCCCCATTGCTCGAGCGACCAAGTCTGGGTTGTTTTCTACCGGGCTCGCTCAAGTGTAACGAAAATGTGCGACTTTTTCCTTCAGTCCATAATTTTGATCTCTTCAATACCACTCCAATTTAGACTCAAATAACCACTACAATTTGAACCAAACCACAACATATTGTCAAAATAATTTGGTTATTTATAACACCAACCCGTCAAAGATATTAGTTATTCGAAAACTTATGTATTTACATAGTACAAGTAGTAGTATTTAGAATTTAGCGTAGGCAAACATATTGTACCTCATTTAATGTATTTACTTAGTACAAGTAGTAGTATTTAGTTTTTAGCGTAGGCAAACATATTGTACCTCATTTTCAACGTTTTAAGATTAGAAATGACAATTTTGAATATGGCATTGTTCGTGTTAGATTTGTGGACAAATTGCCCGACTAACCTACAGTCTATTTTGAGAAAATATTAAGTAGATTAATAGAGAAGAAAAAAACAATAATAACATTTATTTACTGTTAGGGATTAATTTCTGTGTGGTCCTAATTAAAATATGAATTTGTGTTGTTTTATGAATAATAGGAGTGTGTATTTATTTCCTTTTATCCAATTTGTGAAATAGTTATGTGTACTATGTATTAAGTGGGTTTTTCTTATTACTTGGGGGATTGGGGTATCTAATAGAATTGCCGTGTGTACGTACAATTTTTTCACATAGAAATTTCTTTTGCCGTCCCTGGTGTTTTTCACGTAAATCACTATATTTTTTGGCTCATTAATTCTTTTTTTTAGAACAAGAATCCAGTGTGTAAATAGAGAATTTGTCTCAATTCTC